TTTTTTTTTTTCGTTTCACTGTCTAGAGACGACTTCACCAGCAATGGCTGTCATCGACACGATTACAGCTTTTCCTTCCTCACAGATCATTCTGGGAACTGCTTTTCTATTACTTGGCTATATTGCCGCAATAGTGGCATACAGACTCTACTTCCACCCCCTAGCCAAGTATCCAGGCCCATTTTGGGCACGGATCTCAGCATTCCCAGCATACTACTATACTCTGAGACAGGGTCGTCACATATGGTTCTGGCAGCTGCAGGAGAAATATGGTAAGTAATATACATCCGTTACAACATATTAACATATCGAATGCTAACATACGCTCTTACAGGCCCAACGTTTCACATCACTCCCAATAGTGTATTGATCAACACTCCTACCGGTCTAAAGACCATCTACGACAACAAGGCAAACGTCAGAAAGGCGGAATACTACAAAGTATACCCTCGCAATGTCCATGCTATGACAACATGGAATAGCATCGATAAGACTATCCATGCTCGAAAGAGACGAGTTATGAACCATGCATTCTCTGATAAGGCACTGCGCTCCTGCGAACCTTTTATTCATTCTAACGTCGATCGATGGATTGACTTACTCGATCGAGAGATCGGAGAGAAGAAATGGTCTAGCTCCTTGAACATGGCTCGATGGGCTGATCATCTTGTCTTTGATACCCTAGGCGAGCTATGTTTCGGTAAATCGTTTGGCATGAAGGAACATGACAGCGAGTTACGGCACATTCCAATGCTCATGACTGATTTTATGGCCACTGTTCATCCAGTAAGATACCAGACACCATCGGTGAGGCTGCTGCTAATGTGAGATGTTTAGATTGCCTACTCCCCCTTTGCTCCCCTCTGGGCATGGCTTAAACCTCGAGGCCTGGACTATCTTCTCGCAGCAGCCGCACCTCCAGCCTTAAGCAAGTGGCAGATGTTTGTCGAGAAATGCTTCACTGAGAGAGCTCAAATCGAAAATGAGGCACGAGGAGGATCGAAATCTGGTACTGAGAGTCGAAAGGATTTCTTCCACTATCTCTTCCACGCCGTTGACCCTGATACTAGAAAGGGATACAGCAACGATGAACTATTCGGTGAGAGTGAGTCTCTTATTATCGCTGGTTCCGACACGTCTGCCATAAGTCTCGCTGCTGCTTTCTTCTACCTTACGCGATACCCTCATGCACAAGAGAAGCTTGCAAAGGAGGTGAAATCTGCCTTTTCCAGCGTGGACGACATCAAGGGTGGCCCAGCT